CGTCATGAATATGCTGTTCAGTGGCTGGCTGCTACTCATAGCTCAACCTTTTCGCCTTGCTCAACCATCTCACCACGAGGTATTTCACATCTACCTAGGTATTTTGCCAGCCCCTTTTCCCCACTTTTGCCTTGGGTGCCTGGGGATCAGCACCGTCAACTGTAAACAACACATTGTCACCTGGACGACGCATCGCCTCGCGCTTCCCACCGCCCCTGACTGGTTGCTTTCATCATCGACATATGCTAGCTCGGGCCGCCAAGCGGTGAAGCAAGGTATGCGATCGAGGCTGCGGGCGCACAGCTTGGCCCAAAGGCTCTCGCCTCACCGAGAAAAAAAACTGATGCCTGCTCAGGGGGCTGCATTAGGCTTTTGCTTCATCCCTCCACGTCCTCGACGGCCCCTCTGCTGTTTCGCAACGGCTACAATCCCGTTGAAGCGAAAATGCCCGGTGTCGCACAGCACATGACTCGCTAGAGGCTTCCGAGGCTTGCTTGCCCGATGGCACTTTCCAACCACCGGGATGCCTTCTGATAAGATGGGCCTGTGTGATCTTTGCCCTTTGACAGAGTGGTTGTTGTGGTCTCGGACGGCAGCCCCGCTCGACCATTCGGGGCTCGACACCCTTCCGTGCCTTCACCGCCTCCCTCGCGCATCCCGGTCCCTTCCCCGCCCTTCCCGGCTACCGATAGGCGGCTCCGTAGGCGAAACGTTGCTGTAGCAGTATGTCTCAATGGAGCTAGGACGATTTTACCCATCAAAAGGTGAAGGTCTGCAGTGCCAGCAAAGCAACGGGTGGAGGATCATCATCCGACACACACACATCCGATTCGACTTCTAACGCCCTGCCTGTTGAGCCCCGACGCCAGAGCCTCGGCAGAATCCCGAGAAGTGCAGACGCATGGCGACCTTGCTGCTTCAGCATGCACATACTTTGCTGGAACGGGGGACAGGAGACACTCGCTGGCAGCAACCAAGAGCTCTGCTGCCAGGACCCGTGTCCTGCGCACCCAAGCGCCCACCAATCGGGTCTTGTCCGGTCCGTGATGGAGCGGAAGGTGCAACGGGAGGAAGGTCGCGAGACGACAGCCTTTCGCTGTCCGACACGGCACTCCTATTATCCAGCGAGAGAGCCAACACTGCAACGCATTGCCTTATAAGAGATGACCATTCAGAGGGTCGCAAAACATCTGATGGGATGGCATGTGCCTCAACACGTGGGCGAGTCCAACGAGACGTGCACAAGGGAGGATACTAGGTCACTGAGACGTTTCGAGGCAGGCGAGGGAGGGTGGAAACACTTGCAACACTTGCAGGCCTGTTCCGGATGCTGTGCCAGCAGCACAAACCTGCTCATTGTGACACTTTGCAAGTGCCGAAGCCCAAGAGTATTGCATATTTTACTCTGCCCGCATGCCTATCCCGTAGTCAACTCGCTTTTCGGGACGCCTTGTTAGCTCACAGTGAGGCGGCAGGTCTTTGCACAACCCCCGTTGCCGATCATGAGACCGCTTTCCGGAACAGAGTTAGAGGCAACGTGAGATGCTGACGCTTGAAGCTGTCCACGAAGAAGTCACGACTGGAGGACCGCCATTGTCTGCTAACCCTCAGGTGCCCCTAGCACGATCATGCGCTGACGCTCTAGAGACTTCGCCCCCAAGGCAAACACTCGGCGTCATGCCACAACACGTCGTATGCCCCCGTAAGTTGCATTTCAAGCTGGCACCAACAAATAACCTCAGCTGGGCTTCGTCTATCCCGAGTCCTCGAGATTCACTGTTATCTATTTTTGTGTTGCCCCTGAAAGTCGAATCCTCGACATAATTGGGCCTTGGTACGAGGATGCGGAGTGTGGAGCGTCTTACCGAGAGGCCGCCCTGAATGTTTTAGCTGAGGGCGGGCGGGCGTGGAAAATGAGGCGGGGAATGCGAATCACCCCTAGACTAGACTAACAAGCCTTGAATCCTTCAGCTCGGATGGGATCTTCAAGGTTTCATATTGTTGTGGCTGAGTTTTGGTGACGACGATTTGTCTTGGTATTTGCAGCAATGTTAGGAGCAGCTAGATTACACTGCAGGCCGCGGGACCCGAACATGATGGTGGGTCGCTCCGCAGAAGGATGTCTTACCGATTGCAGGAAGCGCAGCGGGAAGCCGACCGTTGGGGTCGGACGCACTGAAACACCTGGGGCGGATCTTTCCGTGGGTGGACTTGCAGATTTGATGTCGATATGTTTTCATGTAGATGTGCTTTGGTCTTGACAGATATTTATTCTCATAGCTTTGCGTTCCCCGCCCGGCTCTCTTTCCTCACTTGATCTCTCATGAGCCTCCGCAAGATCTTGCCGCTGGCAGATTTCGGCACCTGGTCAATGAATTGGATGCCTCCCCTGAGTCTCTTGTGAGGCGCAACTTGGCTAGCCACCCACTCGCTCAACTCCTGTGCTTTGGCTTCGCTGGCGGTAACCCCCTGTCTGAGGACGACGTACGCCCGGGGGACCTCGGTCGCTTGAGCTGGGTCTTCGACGCCGATTACGCAAGCATCAGCGATGTCCGCATGTCCAACGAGGAGGCCTTCTAATTCCGCTGGTGGGACGGGGAATCCCTCTATTGAGTAGGTAATCGGGATTAGTACCATGCTTACCGCAGCTCGACATACAAGGCAAAAGGGAGAGGCAGTGAGAGAACAACTTACTATACTTGATGAGCTCCTTGAGACGGTCGACGCAAAAGTAGTTGCCGTGCTTATCCCGTCGAAAAATGTCGCCCGTCTTGAAGTACCCATCCGGCGAGAACGCCTCCCTTGTGCGCTCAGGACTATTCAGGTAAGCTTTGAAGACGTTGGGCCCTTTGACCCAGAGTTCGCCGGCCTATTTTTTTTATGCTCCATTAGATCCTGTGAAACCTGTGAAACAATGCAGAAGTGAAATGGTTCTGTCGTACCTCGTCGCCTGCCACCTCATTGCCGCTCTCATCAACGATCTTCGCTTCCATATTGGGGAAAAGCTTTCCAACGGACCCCATGTGTTTTGCCCATTCCTCGACTCTCTGGCAGTGCGTGACAGGGCTCGTCTCGGAGAGGCCGAAGCCTTGTTTTACTCTGGGAATCCATGTCAGCCAGGCGTCTCTCAGGCAAAGTTAGGCACTCCCTTCCGAGACAAAAAGAAGGCAAAATGGGACGCACGGGATGTGAAGTCGGTCCCACACAGCCTCGGTGAGCTCTCTGGTGAGGGGGGCAGCACCCGAATGCAGAACTTTAAGCGACGTCAAATCGTACTTGTCCACCAAGGGATGCTTCGCAAACGCCAGTATCACTGGCGGCGGGAGATAGGTGAATGTGATGCGGTAAGCCTCGATTGTTTGAAGGACCTTTTCCATATCGAAGCGTTCAAGAACCACGAGCTGCCAGCCGGAGTAGACGGTCAAAAGGACAGAGCAAGTTAAACCGTAGATGTGAAAAAACGGAAGCACACCCAGCTGCTTATCTCCCTTTCCGTCGTAACCGCCATACGGGAGCCACTGGTTACCTTCAACATAGTCGCCCTGGAGAAGATTTGCGACGAGATTCAGGTGCGTCAAACACACCCCCTTTGGCAGACCCGTCGTCCCGGACGAATAAACCAGGAAAGCCAAATCCTTGTCTGTGTCGACAGTAGCCTTCGCGTAGTGTCCTCTGGAACTCGTATTGCGAATGTTGCTAAAGTGTTGGAACCTCCCCGAGTGATCACGATGTTCGCCGATGATCACGATGCGGCTCTCTGGAATTCCAGCTTTGGAGGCAGCAGCGATGGCTGTCTTTAAGAACGGTGCCTGCGTTACCAGAGCCTTTGCGCCAGAGTCCTTGAGCTGAAATGTAAGTTCCTCAACTGTGTAGAGCGGATTGGCTGGCGAAACGGCGCCACCGGCCCAGAGAGCCCCCAGCGTGACGATCGGAGTATCGATCGAGTTGGGCGTGTAGAGAGCAATGATATCGCCCTTCTTCCAGTGCCAAAGGGCCTGAAGGCCCTTTCCAAACTCGACGGATGCGCTTCGAAGGCCGGCCCAGCTGTAGGTACGTCCTGTTTCCCCGCTGGTGAAAATCTCTTTTGTCGTTGGGAACGGTCTTTGCTTCCGCTCGAACACGAGCGACCAAAGATCGACATCGCGAGGAATAGCGATGGGCGGGTACGAGGACGCGAACGGCATCGTGAAGTTTGCTTCCGATCTATAGTTGAGCTTTCAGGAAAGTACGAGCCGAATACAACAAGCTCATGGGCTACGGTGTCGCCAGCCACTCAGCATTCCACCGCAACGATGCCGTTAGTTGTTTGTGAGCTGGGGACAATCCCTGCATTTATGTCATTGACCAGTCCGAACCGAGTCCGAACCCCTCGATGAGGGGGGCATGGCCCATTGGTGGCGTTTATCATCGGCTCTCCAAACCCCCAACTTCAAGGCCCTCGCTTGGTGCAGGAGCGGGGCTGGGCCGAGGACATCACGGCTTCGCCGTCTCCATGGCCGTTTGGAGTACTGCTTGGCGGTATTCCAATGCTGGACTTTCGGCTGTAACCCGTGGTTGTCAAACGCACGAGGAGTCTCTGAGTGATGTGTGAAGTCGAGCTCCCCCCACGATTACCCCACAAATTGGGGCTTGGCTCAACGTCCCCTCTGCTCTGGCCAGTGATCGAGCATGAACTGCTCATTGTGCTGAAAAACGGACTTTTCGATTTCGGAAGTAATAGCTAGAGTCCAGAGTGCAAAATACCAGACAGAAAGAGTAACACCAAGCAAATGATGCAAAATATGGAAGAAGCAAACCCATTTTGAACCCGGGGCCGAGGTGCTGGAGGTTCCATTCCCTCTGACCTGGCCTGTGCTCCTGCCCAAAGACGAATGGGTCCAGATTGCTCCTTCCCAATCACCCTCGTGCGTGGAAATCGAGCAAACACCTTAGTTTCTGAGCATCTACGGGGAGCAAAATAAAAGACTGAGCAGTACCGGGCAGAAAATGCAAAAAGAATGAGGACGAAACGTGATTTGAACACGTGACCTACCGGAATATGCTTGCCCGTGGGAAGCTGCAGCCGGTTGCTCTACCCCTGAGCTATTCGTCCTTCAGGGGGTTTAGTGGTAAGCCGTCGCTGTAATCAGGACCACATACGTGCCGACTTTGCTGGAAGCTCGCGCCACGTGACCATTTGGTGCTAAAGGCGGCCTAGGGAAGCGGCGCGTCACGTCAGGAAAAGTAGACATATAAAGTTTTTCGGTTGGCGATGTACACCAAAGCTCTGAAGAAAAGCTGGGGGTCCCGACATTAAATAGAAAGGTGCTCATGTCAATCGCATCATTGCTGGCAATGGAAGCGTGCTTCGTACTTCTCGAAGGCCTGCTCGGCTGCAAGTCATTGTTCGATGGGACAGGACCCACCTAGAGCTTTGCGGGGGCCGCGCTTAAGCCCTGGGGCCCCTGCAACGTCCAACCGTCGCGTCTCCAAGCTTGGAGGCGCGTTTTGTCGAGCATCAACGCACAACACCCCGCCATCACTTTCAACACACCACATGTAGCCTTGGAACCAACGGCTGTAATCCGGGTTGCCCACCATGGCGACAAGTATGCATTCATTTGCGTTATAAGTTCTCTCAGCAAGCCAGCTAACCATTTGTAGGACAGGAGCGCCTCCTCGAGCGCATGCGTGGAGCTCGGTACGTCACCCTTCCCAGCTCCCGCTCCTCAATTGACACCCTCACAGCATGCACGAAGTCGAAGATACTTCCTTCGGTTTCGAACTCCCGGATCCCGAGCCCATGGAATTGGAAGCAGAGCCTGATCCCGAAGCCGAGCCAAGCCCACCTCCCATAGCCCCTCCAGTGACCCGTCCACCGCCAAACACCTCTGCAAAGCGGGCTCGTCCCGGCCGAAGCCCTCCGAGTGCGCGCACCACACGATCCGCCGCCGCTGCGACGAGCCCCCCGCAGAAAAACTCCTCCACACGCTCCGGCAGCCCAGCGATTTACGACATTAGCGATCACAGCAGCGTCGATGGCAAGCGGCCAAAGCGAATTTCTGGCTCCCGCACGGCGAGACGCGGCGGGCCGTCAGCCCTATCATCGGCGTTTAAGAGAGTGTCGCTGGAGGTGCCGACGGGAGAAGATGAAGAAATGGAGGAGAACGAAGCCGTGGTAGCACCAAGCCCGATGGATCTCGAGCCGTCATCTGCTTCGTTGCCTAGGAGGACGTCGCAGCTGTCGCTCGGGTCGGCGAAATCACCGCTGGCGGGGAGGGTGTCGGCCATGGTGGAGGAGATTGGGGAGAGCCCTGTGGATGCACCGGGGAGTGGGAGGCGAAGGCAAATGAGGATTAGCGCTGGGGCGCCGGTGATAGGGTCGAGTACTTTGTTGCAGAGAGTGTTGGAGGACTTGGATGAGACGACGGCGCATGTGCCGTCTTCGTCGCCGTTGCAGCGGGTGGCGAGGAGAAAGAGTGGGGAGACTGCAATAGAGAGACAGCAGAGGAGGAGTGCGCGGCTGTCTGGCGGAAGTTCGGCGGGGGGGAGTGATGTGATGGTGGAGGCCACTCCTAAGTCGAGAGGGAGCGCTGGATCCAAGGACGCTACGCCTAGGTCAAGTGGTAGGAAGAGGGCCAGGGCGGAGCCGACTGTGCCTCTGGTAGAGGAGGAGCCAGGCGAAGAGGAAGAGGTAGAAGGGCTTCTGGCCGAGGACGAGGTCGAGGAGCTAGGGGAGGAGGAAGCCGAGAAAGCGCAAGAGATTGGCGACAAGGAGGCCGCTCAGCGACTTGCAAAGAAGAAACGAACGAGGCAAAGTCTACCCGCTCCCCCATCACCCGAACTCGAAGCCGAACCAGAACCCGAGCCAGCCGCAAAACGACGGCGCAGGAAAGAGGTGGCCAGCCCGGCACAACAGCAGCAACCAAGAGCTCCAAAAGGCAAGCCTGCCAAGAAAGCGCCGGCGAGGAACAAGAGGGGCCCAAAGGCAGCAGGAGCAGCTGATGATGATGAGGCGGACGGCGGTGCGGTGCCAGTCACCGTCCACCGCTTTACTAAGAAGGCTATTGTTGAAGAGGATGAATCAGACGCCGACATCCTCAACGCCGAGATTCCTTATGCCAACCGGGGTGGTGTCAACGCTGTTGATGTACTGTCTAAACTATGCGAGGAACTCATCGGGGCATTCTCTGCTCGGTTGGAGGAGAATGTGCAGAACGCCGAAGACACGGCGGGTAGGAGGGAGCAGCGGACTATGCTGAGATCCCTTGAGGCTTTTCAGGAAGAATTACGAACGAGGTTGTTGGAGCACGTATGTTGCATTCCCAAAATAAAAGGCAACATCGCAAAAGCTGACTGAATTCGTGGCCAGACCATAGCCCTAGATACCCTGCATGCTCTCCGGAAGAGAGTACGCGTCGCGCAAAAGGAGAAGTTGTCATTGCGCGATGCGATACTGCGCGTCCGAGCTGAGCGAGACCAAGTAGCTCTGCGAATGGATGCGATACGAATAAAACATGAAGCGGAGAGCAGGGAAGCCCTGGTAAGTCTTGAACTTTCAATAAGGTGAAGGGGGTTTCTAACGTGATCAACATAGCGTCACATATCTTTGTCCTCAGCTATGCATGACATTGATCTAGTTGTGGAAAAGGGGTTGGCTGCAGAGGAGTTGTCCATGCCAGAACAGACGCGGGCGGACCTCGCCAACCTGGAGCTGTTGGTCAACAGGATAGCAGACCAAGTAGGCACCAAGAGCGACGGCGGGGGAACTCTGAAGCAGATCAAAGAGTTTAACGCTTTCTTAGAACGGACTGCAGGTGTGTTGGAGGGCAGATAGACGGACCCGCAAACAGGTCAACACTTGTCTGAGCACTGGCTTTGTACACGTAGTATCACAATTTATGATGACATGATTACCACCAATACATTATCCTACATCCCACCCCAAGGACTATTTCCCGACCAGCCCCTTGACTTTGTCGACCATCGTCTCCTTGCCCTCGGCCTTCCGGGCTTCCCTCTCCTTCGCCTGCTCCTCCCAAATGGACTGAATCCTCCCCGCCACCTCCGCCTTCGCCCTGAACTCGGCTCTCAGAGCCTCCTCCTCGGCCGCCCTATCCTCTGCCGGAAGCTTCTGCAGCTTCTCCTTCCACTCCTTCAACGTGTTCGGCCCCGGTTCCACGGGAACCACCCCATCCGGCCCGGCCGCCGGCGCCTCCTGTTTCGGTATCACGGGCGTATACACCGGCACCGGTCGTCCCTCCTCCTTCGCCTTGGCCGCCTCCCTCTCGTTCTCCATCATCTGCTGATAAATCTTATCCGCCCGCATCTGAATTTGCTCATCCACCTCCTTCGGCCTCTGATAACTCGAAAGGTACCCCAGCGCTTTCAACAACCTCTGCCCGCCGTTAGCAGTTCCCCAGTACTAGCGCATCACCTCAAGTGGTAACATACCGTCTGCGTTTGATAACACCTCTCAAACTTCTGCACCTCCTCAGAGCACAACCTCGCCCTCTTGACCCAATCCCCCTCCTTCATGCAATTATTCCACTCGAGCTGCTCCTCGGCACAATTCTCCATGGCCGTCCGTCCAATCATGGCCTTGCGCTCTTTGAATCCCTCTAGGACATCCATGAGTTTCTCATGATCGGATTTCGTTTCGGCCTCAACGGCAGAAAGTGGCTTGTAGCCCTTCCACAGGTGTGCGTAGCGGCCATCTTGGAAGAGGGACTGAAGGGGTACAGGGGGTGGGGCGTCATCGGAGGCAGATGAGGAGGGGCCTCGTTTCTGTGGTTGTGGTTGCTGAGGCCGCGTGGGGGAAGGTATGTTGGCGTGCTCGGGCCTAAGTTTCACGGGCGATTCTTTCTCGAGGTATTTGCGGACTTTGGGGTCGAGTTTGCCCAGCGGGTCGGACGCGCTGTCACTGCTGCCGAACCAGCCGTCAAACCACCCCATGATGTCTGCAAAGCGCGTGTCTGAGTCGTGGGATTGGGTCTCTGTTCGTCGCGTCGATGGATGGTGATGGGTGCTGGTTGGAGCTCAGAATTTGGGCGGAGAAGAATGGCAGAAAGCCAAAGATGGGGTTAGGGTTACTAAATACACACCACCTAACCAAGTCACACCCCCTATGCGTGCGGCATCTTTGGCGACATAAGACGCAGAAGGAGGCCAGCAAGCAATCTATAGGGTAATTGGCCAAGCCCTCACCGATGCTATTCTCTGATTACGCTAGACTAACGTCTCTAAATATCATACATCTGTATCTTGTTGACTCTGGAGAGAAGCGCCCTCAGAGCGAGTCATGGGACCCTGTGTTTGATATTGGTCCATAGAATCTCTGCCTCTCTTTTGAGGCATGTTTCTATTGGTTTAATAGGCTTACTTTAGGTAGCCGCTCGCCTTCAGCCAGTCGGTGACATCTGTGCGATCGCGCTCCAGCCACGAGACCTTGGAGCGAATAGCATCCAAGCTTTGCGCTAGCGACTGATCAAACCCAGCAGTGGGCTTGTCAGCAAAGAACTTCTCCACTCTCACCAGCTGCTCCTGGTTGGTGAAGCCAGAAGTGCAGATGGTCACCATGGTCCCGAGGAGAGACAAGGCAGGCGGCAGCTTCTTGACCAGCTCGTCCCAATTCTCCGTCATACAGGCGAAAAGAGCCTCGACGCCATTCGCGTGCCCACGAAGGCCGGCTGTTGGCATATAAATGTCTTGGTCCTTGACCTCACCGCTGAAGAGAAGTGACAAGGTTCTCTTGATGAGCTCTGGGTCCTTGGCCCGACCAAGAGATCGCAGAGCAGTGTTGCGCTCGTCGCTGTTCGTCGACGTATGATAGAAGTTGAGGATAGCGTCATACTGGCAGATCGTTAGCTATTTGTTCTGAACAAATAGAGTATGCAGTGACAAACCTCTTCGGTTCCACCGTACTTCAGTGCCATGCTGAAGACACTGCCACGAATGTTGGGGTGGATCGCCGACTTGTCACCAGCCATGTACTTGGTGAACATCTCCTTTGCTGCCTTGATGATGGTCTCATCTCCAGTCAGGCCTGCGCTACCGAAAAGCATGGCCTTGAACTGTTGTTGAATGTGACCGTCCTTGTCAGAGAATTCCCAG